AAATAAATAAATAAAATAAAATAAAATAAAATAAAAAATAAAAGAACAATCTTAGTTTAGCTCCCAATATCACTACACAATCATATCAACTATTCCCTCAACAATACCTACAAAATCAAATTATATTATGATTAAGGTTTGTTGAGTTGAAATACAGCCAAAGGCCATCGTTATCTAACTCAAAACCTAATAACCATTCAAATTTTGAAGTCGTAAAAATCAATGAGAGAGTATTCGTGGGAACAATTGTTAAGGGTCATATTTAAATAACACTATAGCATGGAAAGAGTAAAAACATTACTTTCTTTTGGACCATGGAATTCCACATTGAATTCACTAATTCCATCATTTATTGGTTCCACAGCATACTCACTCATCATCCTATAACACAATAACACAGCAGATCAGTCATAACACTAAAAAAAGGTCAAGATCCACAAATTTGATTTCATTTGATATTGCAGCAGAAAAAACTAGAAAAAGAAACATCCAAATTTCCAATAGGCAAACTGAAAAGCCAAAGAGTATATGAAGCCAATATACTTTTCTTTCCTTTTTTTTTTTTTTTGATATCCGAATGTTTGGGCCAGCTTTCGTGCACCTCGACTAATCTCGGGGTCCTGAAGTTAATGATCAGGCAAACCTCTAGTGGCCCTAAGGTGTGACTCGAACTCGAAACCTATAGATTTTATCCTCCAAGCTTTATCATTCGGCCACTTGCCTTGGGATTTATATGAAGCCAATATACTACTAGCTATAACTATAGAATTCTGGATATATGAAACAGAGATGTACATAGGATTTTTGTTTTGTATATGAAGCGAAAGACTTTTGTTACATTTATTTATAACTATAGCAGGGGTGACCATTTGTTCAATGGTTAAAATTTACCCTAATAACCTTGAGGTTATAGGTTCAAGTCTTGGGACTACCACTTTGTGCATTATGCCAAAGGTTAGGTGTGCACTTAATCTTTCTCTTCCCAAATATATATTAATGTGTACTAATTGGGCGTTATTTTTTTATTTATAACTATAGCATAAATTATGTCAGCAAAGTCGAAAAATAAAAAGCAACAAGCCCACAAAAGTAGCGTATTACTCAAAAACCTTACAATTTCATGACATCCATATCTCTCTTCCTGTTTGGCATGATGAATATAAATGCACTTATTTAGATAAGTGTACTTATTTGGATCACATCACCTTTTTACTTTTCTGCACATCTTTTTGTAAAAAATTAAAAAGTATATTTATTTAGATCATCCCAGATAACAAAAAATTATGTATTTACCACCCTGCCAAATTCAGAACAAAAGAAAACAGATGTAAGCACATGAAAGTTCAATTTCCAATAGGTAGGTCCATATATATATATATATATACATATCAAATTCAAACATATAATAACAAAATAAATAAATAAATTACAGAAAGTGAACTACTAGAATGTGCTATGGCAAGATCAAAATATGGTATGCAGCAACTTGAGAGAAGTAATCAACATACTTATCACAAATCGATATGTAGAAACTTTAGAAAAGAAATCAACATAAATATTACAAATCAGTATGCAGTAACTTTAGGGAAGAAATCAACATAAATATCACAAATCTTGTAAGTCGTAAAATGCTTGACACCAAAAGGGCCCAACTTTGGCAGGATAGAGCCTTGAAATTCACTTCTAGAAAAGCCTTCATCATCCCCAACTTCGTTTCCTAGTGCCTAGATTGAGACCATTATCCATTTATATAAATATGGTCCTTGCTATAACTCATAAAACCAATTGCCATACAAGTCCAAAACTAAATATGCACTAAAAATATATCAATTTTCTTATAAAATATTTTTTGTGAACTGATTCATATCTGTCTTGCAAGTGAAATTACTGTTCCACTGAAAATTCTTAGCATATAAATTCTTTGCAAGAGTTTCGCTCCTAATAGAAGAATTAATCATCAATACAAATTCAAATTCTAGAACTACTTTCAAAATAAAAGAATTCAAGTTTTGGGAACCTATTCTATCATTCAATTAACAAACATATCTTAATCCTTTAGAGCCATCAGTTTATGATAATTCTCTTTCCAGTCGAATTCCACTGGAACTAGGAAACCTTAGGAATTTGCAGTATATAGACTTTGGGAATACTCTCTTGAATGGAAGCATACCTGGCATATGCAACTGCACTACTTTGTCAAAACTCAGCCTCATCCTTAACAATCTCACTGGTACAATCCAGTCAAACATCGGTGATTTAGTTAATCTTCATCGTTCTACCACCGGCGACCAAATTCCCACCCACCCTCTCTCTCTCTCTCTCTCTCTCTCATTGTAAAAGAAACTAAACTATTCGAGCCTATGAAGCATAGATACTCCGAAATGGCCCCTGTAAGCATATTGGATACGTATCGGATACGGAATAAGCGCCTGATACGGCGGGATACGTATCAGATACGACAAAGAAGTATCTTATTTTTTTATTTTCTAATACGTTTGGAATACATGAGGATACTTCAGGGATACGGTTGGGATACTTTCGGGATACGACAGGGCAAAAAAATAATTTTAAAAACTTATAATGAGGTCAAACTATAAATAAAACAAAAGTAAGGTAAAATAAAACAAAAAAATCAATCAACCAAACCCCACCTAGGTCGCGAACAACAGCAGCAAAGGAGGAGAGAATGAGGAGTCATCTCTATCAACCAACCAACAAGGAGTCGTCCGTCAAGTTTGCGAACAGCAGTTCGTCGATCAGATTCGTCCCTCTCTCTCTCCCTCTCTCTCTCTCTCAATCTCTCTGGTCTTGATGGACAGATCTCGCTCGATTTCACTTACTCACTCTCTCTCTCCCTTTATCGTCTCTCGCTCTCCTTTTTGATCTCTTTGGACACATTTTTTTTGATTTTTTTATTATTTATTTATAAGTATACTCTGTAACCTGTTTTGGCCTCATTTAATATACAATTTTTTTTTTTTGTTTTTTTTGTTTTGAGTAAATTACATTGACACCTCTTGCGGTTTGGTCCAATTACTACCCACCCCTTGACATTTTGAAAATTACATTCCTACCCCTGTGATTAATAGTCTCATTTCACAAATCTCCCTGCTTATATAAAAAGTAACAACTCCTAGTAAAAAAACAGAGGAAATTACATTAAAAAAAAAAAGTAAATGAAATGGGGAAAAAAAAAAGAAAGTAAAGCAAAGCAATACAAAAAAAGAGAGAGTGCATGAGTTTAATATCTTCATTCCGTCCAAATAATTACAATGATGGGGGGGAGGGGGTTAGTGCAATTTTCCAAACGGTAAGAGGTGATATGTATTAAACCCAAACCTTAGGGGGTGTAAGTGTAATTTACCCCTTTTTTATTTATTATAAGTATACTCTGTAACCTGTTTTGGCCCCATTTGATATCATATATATATATATTAGCTTTTATATTTATAAATTTTTTGATTGTTAGTTTAAAAGAATTAAAATAAGTTGTAAATGTGTTTGGTTATGAAAAAAGTTGAACTTATTTGGCTGAATAAATTGTCCCATTACTAAAAATTGTTGTCTTTTTTTTTTTTATCAAGTTTTCTTTTGCTTTAAGTTTTATTTTTATGTATGCTACATTACTAAAAATTGTAAAAATAATATTTTTTGTGAACGTATCCCCGCCATAGCCGTATCCTAGTTTTTCAAATTTTGTCGTATCGTCGTATCTGTATTGTATTGTACCCGTATCCTGTATCCGTATCCGTGCTTCCTAGATTCGAGCTCAACTCATGTTTAGTTCGTTAATTTTTCAAATCAAGCTTGAACAAGATACTACTTGGCTCAATAAGATTAAATGCATAATAATAATAATAATAATACCAAACTATTTGAGCTCAGCTCATTATGGTTTGATTAAAGTTCAATTGCGATTGACTCGGAAAAAAAAAAATCAAGGTTGAGACAAACAAACAAATAGCTAATAAAAAAATCAAGGTTGAAGCACGTTTACAGCCATATCTCTTGCTCCTCAAACAGAGGAGCAAAAGAAATCATAAACCAAGAAAACAGTGCCTCGAATCATTAATGAATGTATCCTCACATCTTGCAACCAGAATCCAAAACAAATAAACAAATACAGGCTCATGAGACAAACAAACAAATAGATAGATTAAGGTGTTTTTATATTCTCATGTATGGAGAGAGAGAGAGAGAGGGAGCATCCAAGTAGTAAAATGAAGCAAACACTAAACTATTAACCTTTTCAAGTTAAGACTACTACAACTTTTTGAATCCACTATCAAATAGAAGACCATAATTAGTATAATACCTATACATAGGAAGTCTCAGGTAGCAAACCCGTCTCGGAAAAAAAAAAAAAGAAAAAAAAAAGTGTTGCAATGGGTGCACAAGGAAAAATCCCCGGAATGGTTCCTGCCAAATAAGTGGCGAAGGGACATTTCTCTACAACTATTCTTATATTTCCACAGAATATTACACATATGGCCACCAAGTTGGTCATCTAAATTTAAAAAATAAAAAACAAAAATCCAAACTGATAAACATCACACACGGTTCAACAAAAAATGTCAAAGATAAACAACGAATAATCTTGTCCTACCGTACTTGTTGCTTGCATTTAAGGCATGCAACATTAACTTATGCAATCCTAAAAAAATTTACAAATGAAAGTTTAACCATCAAATGTTAGTTTCAAGAAGTAAGTATTGTATTATTGATGAACATAATACATCAAAAATGTGTGTGGGTGTGTGGGTATGTATGTGTGAGAGAGAATATACATACACATGTCAAAAATTAAAATGCATTAAAAATAAAAAAACACATTATTTCTATTTCCAACAAGAAAGACCTCAAGCGAGCTATTTTCCACAGAGGATAAAATCATGCACTTCTTAATTAAAGAAATGAACTGCCACGAAATATCTCATTCATATCCCCTACAAAAAAATATTAACTACAATCTCAAAGAAAAACAAAACGAAAAATGCCAATTCAAAAACAATCAAAGAGCAATATCTCTAACTAAGCAACATTATACACCACTAAAAACAGACTATACAGTAGAATTGCACATATCTGTTTCACCAAACTGCATTGAAATGTACCTCTCTATTTGTTCCTCAACAATAACCTTGTCCCCAAAATGTTTGAACTGCAACAATATGATACAAATCACCATAAATGTCACGCCCCACTTTTTATTACTCGAAGTCATTACCAAATTCATTAACTTAATTCAATTTCAAGGATAACATGCGGAAATAAACTTATACATTCAATCTGTAGAAGTGATTAACAATACTCTCATTCGTATGCAAAGTAAATATTACATGAACATGCTTAATAAATTGCCCTTGGGCTTACATCACTTAAGGTACAAGAAGAAGGGTGTAACCCTTTTACAACAATGGCATTCCGCCAACATAACTGAGGCCCCGTGGCCAGTAAATAAGTAGATCCAAATCTTGCAGCTCAACCTGCTTAATACCTGAAAAAAAATTCAACAACGTGGGATGAACATATAGTCCAGTAGGGAACTCAACATGATCCCCAACAATAACAACTTATAGATAGCTATGATCATGAACACTCATTCTCATACTAGAATAGTAATGTGACAGTTTATACAAAATATATATGTATGAACTTTTCTCGAAAACAAATGTTTCATTCAACGCTATAAGTGATTTGCCTTTCCTTTTTCCTTTCATTAACCCCCATTCCCTTTCTTTCATAACATTAACAAATACTTAGGAAGTAATCTCACTAAGCCCGATACTCTCTTCCATTTCCTATACATACTCAGATGTACCTTTTCAAACATGTTTATCTTTAAAACATTCGTTCTCCTCCACACTTTCCAAAAGACAAAAATGACATTTTGGTTCGTTTCCATTACTATCATAATTATACATGCATATCTTTGTAAAAATATAAATTTACAACCCACCAACATGTATACAATCAACCAATGGAGTAACTCGGTCCTCCGAACTGTAACCAATCAACTCCATGACATTTTCAGTTACAACGAAACAACAACAATCCCACTTTGCTCTACTAGCCATGTGCGTAGTAAGCCAAAGATATACTGAAATAACTACAACCAACTTTGCTCTACTAGCTATGTGCGTAGTAAGCCAACAATACCCCCCATTCAACAACATTAACAACAAGCCAGTTTACCAGGCGCTAACTGGAAGGGTATGGTACCTCTGATTTTTAGCGCGGTCAGTTGTCCAGGCGCTAGCTGGAAGGTAACGGTACCTTTGATTGTAAGCGCGGGGTATAACACCAACCATCACAGCACATCAAAGCATAACCAACATGTAAAATGCATATACATAAAGTACCAAGACACCAGCAATGTGTTAAAGTATATGAACACATGACTATCTCCTTTCGAGCAAATATACATATATATAATGTATCTAGCACTTCATCACATACGATGTTCAATTAATCAATGGTAAAATGCATACCCGATAATTCTACACAACCGTGTCATCCTCCACCGATGAACAAGGATAAAACCTCTTGTAACGCCCTCAAAAAAATATACCCATTATATATCATTGACATGCATTGTTTAAAGAGAACACTTTAATAATTCCTTATAATGTCCATCAGAGTCTTACAAATAATAAAAGCATTACATGCAACATCAAAGTAATTCTACACAACCGTGTCATCCTCCACCGATGACCGGTCGCTATACCTCTAGATGCATATAATTAGTACATCTATTGAAGACTCAATTATCATGAATCACAAACCCAACAACAATATCAACATGGTAGTTAAAGATACAACTTCTACATGTGTGTTCAACACTCAAGATACCACAATCCAATTCTCAAACTCATTTCGAAAACACTTCACACATTTTCACAAAAACGATTCCATTCCTTTTTGTTATCATAAAACCAACTCCACTAATCTTGTTTTCATAAAATCAACTCCAAAGCCATGGTTAATCCCTTAGGCATTAACACCCTTACCACACTCATTTTGGCAAAAGAGATTTACACACAATGGTCAACAAACCCTTATTTTAATTTACCCAATCAAAATATAATTTAGGGCTTTTTCTTCCTTTAACTATAACAAGCTAATTTATATTCTAATTAGCCAAGACAATAAGTAGTGAAGCCAAATCCATTCTCAACACAACCAACCCTAGGTTTATCTCATGATTTTCAAACAAATCCAACAAGATATAATTTTCATGCAATACAAAAGCTACCACATGTCTATCTATAGACGGAGTATTGAAAAAGAACAAGGAGAATCCCTACCTCAAATGGAGAACTCAAATGGAGAAGATGACCCGAAATCAAAGTGCTCCAAATCCCAAATTTCTTGGATCACAACGAAGCCCTCGACGATCAACACACTTCTTACAAAGGCCCAAGGTGAGGAAAACACTCTAGCTAGATCAATCCTAAGAGAGAAGTTAGGTTTTAGAGTGAGGTGCTCTCCAATGGCTTTTTCGGAAAAGAAAGAGAGAGAAAGGAAATCAAAAAGTGATTCAAAAAGCTGAATCTCGGTGTGTTATACAGGTCAACCCACTCGAGCGTGGAAACCCCCGCTCGAGCGTCACTCACAGACTCCCACTCGAGCGCCAAAACCCCCGCTCGAGCGTCGGATACAACCATCCAGAAGTTTTGCAGAACAGGTACCTGCTCGAGCGTCCAACTCCCCGCTCGAGCGTCCAACACTACAGAGGAAATACTGGGAAGGTGATTTTCCCGCTCGAGCTCCAAAACCCCCGCTCGAGCAGATAAGTAACAACAAAGGCCCGCTCGAGCGTCAAAAGATCCGCTTGAGCGGAGAGGCCAAAAACTGGGCAAAGCTTCTAAGTTTTAAAACACAACCAACTTATTCCCAACAAGTCCAACACAACCCAAAACTCTAAGATAAAGAGTAAGGGATGGAGAAGAGGATAAGACAACGACAAATCTACGGAACCAAGTCCGGATTACAGCTCAATAACAACAGGGAATGTTGGGATCGCTATAACCTCCCCCCCTTAAAGAATTTCGTCCCCGAAATTAAGGATACGCCAAAACACAAGGCCAACTGATCACACAACACCAACACCCGGGTACTAGGAAAGAGATTACTCTCGCTACAAACCTTTAATCCACTCTTACCAAGGAAGAGACTAACCAAGGGAACACGTTCCAAACGACGACATTCCAGACGTGACCGTCTTCAACAAAATCAAACCTTTTGAGTAAATAATAAGAAAACATTTTCTTGCTCAAGAGACATTTCTCAAAGATAGTCAAATTTTCAGTGCTGACATTTCGAAATAGACTTTGCATTTTCCATGCGAAACTCAAAAACTTTGTATACATTTTTCACCAACACGGTGTTATCCAAAACACAATCATCCACTGTTTATTAGCCAAAAATCATTCATTTGAAATTCCTCAAAACCCTTGAATTAAATCAATTTCTCAACAACACCCTTAGGTGGCCCAATAACAACAGGGAATGCCGGGATCGCTATAATAAACAACAAAGCGAGCAACAAACTTGTCATTAGAATGCATTGTCACTAAATTGATCTCCATAGAGCATTTTCTATTATTTTAATTTGTTCACTCCAATTCAATTTGCAATGGTGAATATAACAAATTCTTCTCAATAACAATCCAATACCTCAAATTCACCAAATGCCTGCAGTCTATCCAAAATCTGCTCCATCGGTGCCGAAAAATCCTATAGCAAATCGGCCTATTAGAATCGATTCGACAAGATGTTCTATACAATAGTTGATTCTTGCATGCTTGGTTTTTAGATTATATATCTATATCTGTATATATATATATATATATATGCAATGTGAGCAACAAGAACAGAACCTCGAAGAGAGAGAGAGAGAGAGAGAGAGAGAGAGAGAGAGAGAGAGAGTTTGAGCATGCTTGGCCAGGGCAAATATAAGACCAAGTTTGGCAACCCAAAAATAATCCATCTTTTTATCTTTTTTCCATCACATCACCTCTCTATTTTTCTTCACATCTTTTCGTAAAAAGACAAAAAGTATACTTATTTAGGTCATCCCAAACAACCCCTAAATAAAAGAAAATAGGAGAAATAAATGGGGGCAAATATAAAGCCCACTCATAAACTGGACCTTTTACCACCCCTGACTTGCGTCTTATAATGCTGTCGCAAATATATTTTTTGCCACGGCAAAACAGACGGTCGCAAAAATGAAAAAAAAGAAAAAAGAAAAAAAAAGAAAGATGCAAAAAGTCAATTTTTTAGTAGTGCTCTTAAGGAAAAAAACAATACCAACTACTAAGGGATTCAATATGTAGTCCTCTTATGGTCCCATTTGCCATTCAGCACATCACCAATGACTTCTCACTTTTCCTTTAATTACATCTTGCAATTTTATTCATTAAAAAAAAAACAGCATCCTGCAATTCCAAATAAGGAAAACTCATAAATAAGACAAATTCTAGTGAAAGTTTGTAGAAAGATACACCTAATTAAGTACCCTCGTTACAATGTTGTCCCCAAAAGGGCACTACTGTCAAGAACAGTCTTCTATAACTTCCTAACCTTCTTTTGTTTTTCATGTTCTCAGCTCATTCCCATCATAAGCTCTGCCACAGAGCCCTTGATATCTGACAAGTTGAATGTTTTCATGCTATGTTTTGATCAGTGATCATTGATGAATTGTAATGCCAAAGTGTAACACTAATGCTATCATACATGTACCAAAATGAATGGTTATTTAATATGCCATGTAGGGCCAAAGAGTGCCACGTGCAAATTTATGTCAATAATTTGGACGGTAGTTGGGAATTGAGCCAAATTGGGAATGATCATATAGTTTAGAGACCAAATTGGGAAAAATAAACTTTAAGGGCAAGGTAAGAATTCAATAATACTTTAAGAGGACAAAATATAATTGTATATATAGAGAGAGAAAGAGAGAGGGAGAGAGGGAAACCTGAGCAGAAGAAAGCAATTCTGGTGAAAAGCGAACATATCGTTGACTTACCATAAACTGCAGAACTAACATCAAAACCACTGCCAACTTTCCCTTTTCCAATCTCACATGATAAACCCACCTAGAAGCATTGAAAACTTACTTCAATCCGTTAAACTTTGGCTTGCTCTCAACATTGGCATATGGAAACATCTCAAGTATAACAATGTGCAAATTTGTAACAATACATTAATGATATAGATAAGATGATCCAAAAAATCACTTTCATTCTAGTAGCTCAGAAAGCATAATCATTATAGTAGATGTTTCAATTGTAGTAAAAGAGAAAGAACATGATAGGAAAAAAATATGAGCAAATAAACACCACTAAAGATAAAATAAGTAAAAGATTTTAAAAGTACAATAGGAAAGGTACAATACCTGATTCCAATATGAATAGAAGTCATTGCAACCTAAGATTGTAATGTCAAGACCTGCATGAATAATCCAGTTGAGACATTAGATATTTACAATTACTTAATTTTAATAAGAAAGATGAAGCATCAAACATTACCTTGTAAAAGTAGTTTGTGTAACAAATCATTCTTATCCTTTTCCAATGTCGCAAGGGCTGCTGCTACAGCATATTGCACTGCATATTCTACAAAGGGTTTCCTTGATTCACAGAGATTATAAGCCAACATTGATAAGCATCACCTCAAGCCAATATACCATCTATTTTCCCCGTTATTTGAATTTAGTTATTAAGACAAGAAAAACCACTAAAAATAATTCTTCTTCGGAAGACACAAATGTGGATTGCATGGTAGCTGTTTATCTTGCTCCGGCTAGTCCAAGGTAATGAAGTGAAGAGAGAAAAGTAAATGTGGATTGCTTGGTAGCTGCTCTTCTTCCCGTGGCTAGTCCACAGAAGACACAAATCCTCTTGAACTTGGATTGCTTCATTTCATTCTCTCTACATCAATTGTCCTAGTTGCAATATCAATAGAAATTCAAACTATATGTAGAAAATATTAGCAGAACGTCAGGGAAAGTTTTCGTCATAATTTCAACCTAAAATGTGAATTTAGGACCTATTTATAAGTCCAAAAATGATGTTCTATATTTAATGGAAACAACCTTCAAGGCTCTAGCTTGGCTTTATTACTGCTTATTACACTTTACAAGGTCAAATGAATTATATATGGCCAACATACATATAGTCTCTTCACAAGTTTTGTATGAACCAGCCAAAGACCCTTCACAATCTAAAACTTCAATGATCTATAAAACGGTATATTAAATTTTATGAGATTTGTAGTTTCATTTGAAGAGATCACTGCAAGTAGATCTATTGTGGAAGCAAGAAGAATTTTATTATTATTATTATTATTATTATGATTAGTGATATTTATATTAATATTTTATTTTTGTCTAACTACATCTAGGTAGGAATCAATTCTCTATTGCATGAAGGTAAGGCAAAAGCTATCGTTCGATATGGATTGCATCCAGAGAGTAAGGTCACTAATTAAGAATGAGGCAAAGGAAAAATGAAAACACACAAGTTATAACGCCCTCAAAATAATAACATTAAACCCAACAAATAAGACAAGCGTTGATAGATAAACTAACCACCTTCTATCATTCATTACTCCTTCTTTTCTTGTTTTCCCCATTTTCTAAGCAACCACACAGTGCATAAAAGGAATCCGTACACCAGATTCGATTCCTCAAGAGATACTGAAATTAATAGTACCCGTGAAAGATTCAAAGCAGATAAAGAAAAGAAAAATACCAGTAGAAAGATTCAAAGAAGATTCAATTACTCCTTCAACTGTATTCAATTTCATACAAAACTAGCGCCAAAATTTTTATTTTTCTTCCAGAATTGACAATATGCTTTCAAACCAATTTAGGTATAATAAAATTCTGAAAATTCATCATTTGTATATAATTGTGACAGAGCATCATGAGCAACACCATTAGCAATACTCAAAGTAAAATAGACTTTAATCAAGAAAAACTACCAAAGGAAAGATTCAATATCTAACTTTACAGTAGTTAGGAACCTAAACCTGAATAATATATACTACGTCACTAACAAGTCATCAAACAACATCACTATGGATTGCTATCGCTATGTTTGGTTCCCAGGAAAGCATAAAACAACATTTCCAAGAAAGAAAGAAAAAAAACACAAACAAATGCAGTTGCCAGAAAACTAGTTTTCCCAATTTGGGAATCACTCAAGAGACTGATCTTCAAAGCAACCAAGTCCGAAGAGTCCCTGCCGTGTTCGCAGCGAACCCGGGGGTGCTGCTGTGCCCAACTCACAGCAGTAACTGCTGTGAGTTGAAACGGCGTCGTTTCCGCTCTAAATAATAAAAAAAAAAATAAAATTTTGTTTGGTTGTTCGCACGGCTTGAACCCAGGCAACTCTGGGGTGCAAAACACACCTTAACCACTGTGCTACTTAAGACACCCCTGAGCATGTTGCACATATATTATATTTATTACAATCTTTATTCTAGCATAAAATAAAATTTACAACTTGCTATTTTTACAATCTGTGTTCCAACATAAAATTACAAATACCCTATTAGCCCTGTTTGGTAGAGCTGTGGGAAAGTGCTTATAGCTTATGCCTAAACAGCTTATAGCTTATAACTTTCAGTTTAAGCTGATTTCCAGCTTATTCTTAAAGCATCTCCTGCCCCACTCAAAGAATAAGCTGATTTCTGACTTCCACAAAGCTATAAGCTATAAGCTATAAGCTAAACCAAACACATCAAAATAGCTTAAATTAAGCTGAAAGCTGAAATAAGCTGTAAATAATTTCTGCCAAACAGGCACATTGTCATAATTTTTTATTTAACATAATTAATTAAAAAATAAAATTCCTAATTACTCTTCTATACAATAATAAATTACCTGAATTATTAATTAAAATAAATTTTTAACATCATTAAAAACTATTAATTAACTTGATAATTTATTAATAAAGTAGACATTTGTTATAAAATTAAAAATTTCAAAGAGCGAGATATAATTTTCAAAATCATAATGGACAATTCGTATTTTAAACAAATTTATCCTAAATTTTAAATTAGGACAACTTTTTACTCAACTCATTTACAACTCTACGTTTTTTTGCATGGTGGATTAAAAAGAAGATTCCCCAAGGACCAAAGGCTATTGCTGCTGCCATTGACTGAGTTTTTGGAAATTGGGTTAGATCAAATAAATCCCCTGCCTAAAATGTTCAGAAACATTTGTTTCATCATTTTTTATGTTTGTGTGAAAATAGTTTTTGAAAATTCAGAAGGCAGTTTTGAAACAGATTGCCAAATCAGTTTTCCATATCAGTGTTTGTTTTTTCTATTCTCAAACAATTTTCCACAAAATTAAAGACGGAATACAAAAACCACAATCAAACTAGCTAAATTTTCAGAAAGTGCAGTTTCGTAGCACCAATAAAAGAATTTCATTCCACAAAGCAGTCCATAACTCTTAAATGCTAAAGATTTGTCTGAGCATTGCATTCCATGGCAATACAGATCAAGAGGAAAACTATTCAACAAATTGCTCGTCAAAATAGATAACTAAACCACTATAACGAACCAAAATCCCATGAAATCTGAATGACTCAGTTTTTCTCAACAATGCTACTATTTGTTAGATAACAATTTTCAGAAAGTGCAGTTTCATAGCACCAATAACAATTGTTTCTCCTCAAATAAACCTTGAATCCATGTCCAATATGCACAATTTGATGCTCTATTTATCAAACACAAATAAAATAAAACACAATAACAGTGGTGACTTCTCCTTAAATAAACCTTGAATCTTTTCAATTTAATTCTCAAAAATAAAGCAAAAGGGTGGCCCGCTAGATAAATGTTTACATTTCAATTTTGTGGGGGTGGTTCCGAATGGCTGAAAAAATCAAACAAACCATCATTACAAAAGACTGAC